GAAACATGCTGATGAATGTGATCGCTGGATTTGAAGCCTTTGATTCTCTGTCGGACTCGGATCCTTCTTATCCTTCTATCTGCTGAGAGCACGAGAGGCTGGAGCTTAACTGGAGTTTTTAAACACGTGTTGGATTTGGCTGGTGGCCGCACACTATGTGAGCATTCACACACACACACACACACAGGTCCTACCTTGAAGAGTCCTTTGAGCATGATGTCTATGATCTTGTACTGCTGGTTAATGTCGTTCAGCTCCACCAGGTTCTTCAGAGCGTTCAGTTGATCTTTCCTCTTGGTCTCAAACAGCCGCTTGTCTGACAGGAAAAGATCAGGAGGACACACACTCCCCATGTGAGCATAACGCACACGCACACACAGTATTACACACACACAAACACACACACACATCCAACTGATATGCACAGCAATGAATTCAGACACACACACACAGGCGTGACTGTGCGTCAGGCAGCAGCCCTCCACACTGACAGCAGAAGGATACAGATCTCCAGGTTGGAGTCATGTCTGGGTCTGTGTGTGTCCAAGTCCGCTGAGCTGAGGGCGACAGCGGCCAGCGCCACGACCACCGCACAGAGACTCTGCATGGTCACCAGGGGGCGGCAGAGAGGCACTCTTCAAGACACAGAAGACAAATCATGAGACACCTCTGTCAGCGCGTCGTTAAATCTTGAGACGGAATTGCATGATTTCAAATCTCCTTCCAACACATTTTCTTTTGATGGACAAACAATCTCATCTGAACACTGGACTTGAAGTGAAATGATTTTCTCCTTTCAAAGCTGCTGGAAAGGTTCTGTCCCCCGTGATACTTGTGGAATAAGTGAAGTACAGAGAGATACGCCCAGGGGTCTGTGGACAATATGGACCACCAGAGGGTATCCAGCAGTTGAGGAGGGGGCTCCTTATGTTCCTTCATCTGATGTCTGGCACTTGAAAAACCCCAGAGGAGCATTTACAATCTCTGCACCAGACCGGCTCTTTGCCCTTTCTTCCCCTCTCAATCCAACGTCTTCAACGTGTTCATTCAGATGTAACGTCCTTTTCCTCTGAGGCTTTTTTATACATTCGAAGGGGAGGGGGGGTGAAAGAACTAGGAAAGATACAACAGCTAAAAATAGAACCTCATCAAATGAAAATTTGATGAAAGCCAAATTTTTAAGAAAAACATTAGTGGAAAACAGGAGTAACTCGAGGGAGGCAGCAGCCACGGTGTTGATGAAAAGCTACAACACATAATTCACATAATTCATGCATAATTTATCAAGGGCTCCATCAATACACAATCAGAGGGGTGCGGAGGTTGAATAGGAGTGTGGGGAGTGAAGGGAGAGTCAGATTGTGAAGCAGGAGGAGGACAGGAGGCGAGAGATGAGCAGAGGGGTGATGAGGCGTTTGGAGAGGGGCAGGCGGGTGGAGGTTGGGAAGTCGGACGGCAAGACCCTGCAGGAGACAACAGCTTTCCTGGTAAATATTTCATCTACTTTTGTTAAGACACAGCGATAAAACAGAAAGACACACAGATAAGAGAACAAGTGGAAGATAGAGGAGGAGAACAAGGCTCTGCGAGAGGAAAATGAGCAGCAGGGACTTGATTTTGCTCTGACGAAATTAATCTTTACAAGCTTGGCTGCCAAATCCTGAAACTGCAGGACGAGGAAGTGAGCAAACCTCTCAGGGTATGAATGTTAATTTGTCCCCTTAAGGATCTCACTCAAATCAGAGGGGGGAAGCATATGCTCCGAGACACAGAGTCCACCATCACTCCTCAGAGAGGCTGATACCGTGGACCAACAGCGATGGTTTCAAACTACAAACCTCCTCCTGCTTTTTAAAATTAAATTCAGAGCCTGCAGATATGACGCGAGAGATCATTCGGAAAAAGTAAACAAACTCCCTTAAGTTGCAGCTACTTTAATTTGTGCTGTTGGCGGTCGTCAAAATCGACTTTTTTTAAAACAGCGTCAGCAGAAACAAGTGTTCCCGAAGACAGCTGAGCGGGGACAATGTTCGATAAAAGGCCAATTTGTGCATTCTGGGAACATCTTTTGGGTTTCTTCCCAGCGTTCTGAGATACGCTGCTCTAAATATCCTTAAGTGCTGGTCGAAAGCCTCAGTATTTCTAGATAACAGCTGCGGGCAGGGGGCCTCGTCTCTCCCCTGGCAGCAGCTCATCGGGTTAGTTGATGTTCTGAGCAGGCAGCTATATATGTAGCTCTGACACATATTTATGAGCAAAGAGGTTATCGTCTCTGCTACGATTTAATGCAGTCAACATATATCTCCAGCAGATGCTTAAGTTTTCATGTGGCAAGAAAAAGTGCTGAGACCTTAAGAAGCAGCGCAAGGACGTTAAGGAGGGGATCAATCATCTAATGCATCCATTAACTGTAAGCAGGCAAACCTAATTACACAGGCTGATCGCTGTAGAAAATCAAAGTCAGAGGAAAACCCACCAGTGAAGCACTTAGGTTTTAGGATCAGATTACACCTGAGAAATGAGACGATATCAAGTTCCCTGTGAAGCTTGTTCTGGGCTGCGAGGGAATAAAAAAGGGATTTGACTGATAAACCAAACATCATATATTCATCCTGCACCTTTCTCAGACACATCAGCCCAGCACACACTCCATCAACACAAGACTTGTCCTCTCATATTCTGCCCTGGACGGATTTCCCATCATGTTCAAGTGTCCAAGGTGGGGAGGGCCCGGTTCGGATTTGGGCCCCATCACAGGGGCACTCAAGTCGGGCGAGGTGTATTTGCCACGGGGAGGTCTGAAAGGAAGAGTGGTTCTCGCCGTAAGCCCACGTAAATCTCTTGGCCGTTGGAGATTTTCCTCTCAGCCAGCAGCAATCTCCTGCGGCAGAGAGGCTGAAGTTTGATTTCCTGTGTGGGAGATCCAGTTTCCAGCTTTGGGCACACATATCTAATCACTCCACAGAGCTGTCAGGACGACTCCACGCTGGGAGAACATGCATCAATCCAGTATTTCACACCATGCAGTGTGATGCATATCTGCTTTTTTTTTTTTTTTTTTCCCTCTCTGCTCCGCTGAAGGACGAGCTCAAAAACACAAACAGAAAAAACTGAATCAGGAGCAGGAGACGGTCCATTCTGCTGATCGACCAACTCTGTGACATTAATGCAGAGAGAGGAAGCTGAACCTGGAGGTGAGGGCAGCTCCGGGGGGGGGGAGAGATGCCGATCAGATGTGCAGCAGGGGTGGATGCAGATTTCTTCCAGGCTGCCTGCTGTGGAGGTTTGAGGTTCAAGGACTGACACATAATCTCTCTCTCTCTCTCTCTCTCTCTCTCCCTCTCTGCACGCAGCTCTATCATCATTCATGCAGAGTCAGAGCCACGGGCACGCGTAACGCTGATGATGGCTGAGTGAAGACTGGCATGTGCACCATCAATTACAGATGCCTTGATTACATGTCCCCTGCATGACCCAGGATCCCCTGCAGACTCCTCACACTGCTCATTTCAAATCCCACAATTACTCGTTAATCAAGACGCTGCGGTGTGAGAACGTCCCTAAAGCTGGTGTGCATCAAAACCTCACGTTAATATAAATATAATATTATATAGGTTTACTCAATGAGAAGTGTTTGAAGTCGCTGTTTAAGAAAAATTAATCCCGCCTGCCATCGCGGCTCCTCTGCCCCGGCCGGAGCCACCATCCGGCGGCCAGCACCGCACATCCGACCCGGGATGTGCGGTGCAGGAGCGCCGGAGGTTCCACAGACACGCAACTCGCGGCTCACTCACCGTGTTGGAGCGGGGAAAGGGCAGCGATCCACGGCGGCGAGCGACCCGGTTCGGTAACCTCCGTATCCCCACACTTGCGCGTCTGTGGCCGGCTAAGCGGCGAGAGGGGACCGGGCGGTGGACTCGCCCCTCTCGGTCCTCAGGTGGAGGTGGAGCTGGTCATTCACACGCGGCTCTCGCTGCTCCAGTCCGCCAGCGACACGATCTCACCGGCGGCTTCGACCTGGACGAATGACGGCGGAGCACGGAGGGAGGATGTGGTTTCCGCACGGAGGGTTTAGAGAGGGACACACGCGGAGAGCGTGTGGCAGTGATCTGTTTCCCCGCTGAGAGTTTCCTCTGCTGCAGGAAGAGTTTGTCTGGAATAAAAGAATATAAACACGTGTTCAGGTGATTTTTCTTTTATAATGAAATAACTCAGTTTTGCAAAGCTGAAGTAAAAGCACTAGACCTCCGGGGCTGAATCAACATGAGGCTGGGAGATATTAGAAATAAAATTCAGAAATATTTCCTAAACAAGGTTTCAAAGTGCTATTTACACAAATATGTGCAGAGATTACACGTGAACCATTGCTATTGCTCGGCCAGATGAATACAGAGCAGTTCAGAGAGTTGAAGTCCATAATGGGTGGATGTAGTTTTACTGGGAGCAGAGCTGGTCGTCTTACTGCTGCAGGAAGAAACTCCAAAATCATAATAAGGTCAAGACTTAAAAATATACAGAGAGAAGACACAACTGTTCCCACAACGAGCAGCACTTTGGCGACTGTGGAGAAAAAAAGACTTCCTCATTAACTGGAAGAAAAGTTTAGAACCAGACTCTGTGTGGGCGACATCTGCCTCATATATAATAGATGTAGACAGTAAATGCCACATCATTTTTTCTTTTACATTATAAAGCCAGACTGCTAAACAATACAAATCAGTGGATTAGTTATGTGTTATACCTTCTCACTGCGATTGATATATGTCTTTCATTATTTTACTGGCTCAGGAGCCGCGACAAAAAGAGAGGGAGACGCGGGTTGAAAGCCAAAGGAACTCCTCCTTTGAATAAAACTGTCTGACAGCGAACAAACTAAGAATATGATGAGGTGTGTGCATCAGTGGAATGGTTATAGTGAAGTGCGTGTGGTGAGAGTCCGCCCACCAGTTATCTGCTGCATCACATCAAAACAAGTGAAATAAACAAAGCAGGGGCCCTCCACACTTTTGAGGAAGTGAGTGATGATGGTTTCTGTCACTTCTTCAGACCTTTTCCACAATGTTGATGAAAGTTCTGCTCCCCTCTTCCACTTCACTGTCACTGTCAAACACATCAGGAAACCTGTGAGGAGCTGCACTAATCTTACAGCATTGTGAAGGTGATTATAGCAAACCAGCTCCTCTGCTCATGTGGTTTTCTACAACCTCAACCCTCACTGGGATCAAACCTTCTCCCTGGGCACACTGAGGACAAAAAAATACAGTTGAGGATTGAGGGATGAGGTGAGGCCAGAAAGTAACCACTGTAATTACCAAGTCAATTACTTCCCTTTGCTAGTCCTTCATTTCATGTGTTGCATGAGTGACAGAAAGTCAAATGTGTCCCTCTGTCCCTCGCTCACAGCCCCTGGGACTCGATTACCAAAAAAACAAGCAGTATTTTAATTTGACAGTTTTATTTTAATTTGCCAGAAAGGCCACTTAACAGAACCCATGAAAGTGACTTGGTTTTTTCCGATAATACATCACTACAGTAACGACAGGTTTGACCTTGACCAGTCCTGTCACCACGCAGCTGTAAAATTCTAAATGAAGCAACATTTTTATTAAGATAAAAAGTCGTAAGTCTCATCGTGTCCTTCAGGTGCTGAAGGAAATAGCAGAGATCTTCTGGTATTATGAACTTAATGGTAGAACATATAAGAAGTATCTAACAGCCTACAACAAAGGTAAAAATGGGTTTTAAATCAGAAATCTTTTAGTTCCAGGTTGTCTTATCATCACAAAAGCTCAACTGGTCTTTAACACTGCCTCTAAATTCAAAGAACAATTCAAGAGCCGTGGATTCTTTCACTGAGGCACTAAAGTTAAGAACGTGCAGCTTTAAGAGGAGAACAGAAAATCCCGATAAGCACCAACGACTGCAGGAATCAAAGAAACATAACAATGAAGTAACAATTTAAAGAACTGTCAGACTAATGGTGCAATCATTTATAAACTCTATGTTTAGGTTGCAGCTGGAACATCAGCCTGTCGACAGTGTGAAATCAGACAGACAGATGAGCACATCTCCAGCGTGCCTGCAGGCAGGAGTTAAGGAGACAAAGGCAGGAGACGATGTAGATGTGTGTGTGTGTGTGTGTGCGTCTGGACACAGTTTTGTGAACATTGCCTTTCACAGAAGAAATGCAGCAGGAGACGTGTGGATCAGACGCACATGTCTGGAACATTCATGTGAGAGGTGGTGCTGTGGTAGAGCAGCGGGAGGCAGGACATGATTTTCTTTTGTTTCAGAGAACATCGACACTAACGTCTGTTCCTCATCGCCAAAACCTCTGGAATCTTATTGTCTTTCCAAGTCAACATCTGTGTCTTCTGTGTGTATGAAGCCTCTTTTTTTCATCCTGAGATATTTAGATTCTTCCAGTTTTGCACTGTCATGGGTTACAAATGTCATCAACACGCCTACTTGCTTGTTGTGAATTTTCTGGGCTCAGTCGGACATTTTACAGACATTTCACCAGAGGGCTGCCAGGAAAAGTTGAAGAAAATGTCTACTAGGACGACTGACTAGTAAATTCACATTCTCTCATAAAACTCCTCTGGAAAATGTCCAGTGTGTGTGTGTGTGTGTGTGTGTGTGTGTGTGTTACTGAACCATAGTTAGTTTTGCACTTTTTTGACTTACACTGAACTGTTTCAGTGTTCTGCTGGTTCTTGGATTTGTTAACTATAAATATCATACGACAATATTGATTTTTATGTAACACGAAGCAACTATGCTTATTTCAAACTGCACAGAGTATATGAGTGTGTGTGTGTGTGTGTGTGTGTGTGTGTAGGGAGAGAGGGAGTAAATCAGCATGACAAATGTAGAGAGCCTTGAAATAGTGACTCTGAGTGAAATACAGTTAATGACTCTGTTGTACAACATTGAGACTAAGTGAAAAGCACAACACACACAATAGAGAAAATCAATGGCGATGTTCTGCTGACAGTGAGGAGCAGTACGATTGTGGTGATGTGTTGCTGCTTTTACAAAACCTGTCAGACGCACAAAGGCATATTTGAGGTATTTGCAGAATGTGAGGTGTAGTTCCAGTATGAGATATATATGATATATACAAGCAGCATGTCAGGGTGTGTGGTTTCTACAGATTAGCATGTGTTTCACTTTAGCTGAGGGATACATGACGTTGCTGGGCAGACCGGCAGAGCCGCTCTTGGCCGGTGTCTGGACGCTGATGGCCTCCATCATATTCCTCACTCTCTGCTTGTGCTCCTCGGTGGGTGGCGGTTGCAGGACGCCGCTCTGGATCTGAGAGAACGAAAGAAAAACGAGGGTTTTATTCTATTGTGTTATAAAGGAGGGGAGAGGCCGAGCAGGAGATCGGAGCAGTACGAGGAGGGAGAGATGAGTAATGGTTGGGGAGGTGAGAGGACAAAACAAAAAATACAAAAGAGAAGATAACATAAAATGTCTTCACAGAGGAAATAGGCTTTGAGCCTTTTGGCTGGACGAACAGCGGAGTGAGTGATGAAATATCCCCGTTGGTTGTTAGACTTTCAAAATGAACTGACGCAAACAGATGCTATTATGTAATCAGGGGTCATTTACAGACTCTGTTGCCAACTTGGCTCATTTACTGCAACATGTACTCACTTTATAGACACTTCAATCTGCTTTCACTTTTATTTAGTTTCAAAAAAAGCACGTAGCTACAAATCTAAGGAATGTTTGAACTACTGATGTCATTATTGCCCCACGAGCGCACGGTCAGCCTCTCCCTTCAGGCACACCTCTCCACGTGTTTCATTCTGTTGACCGTGTATTGTGAGTTTTCGGGACGTTGTTGTGGTAATAAAATGAGGATTTTAGCCAGTGAGCATCAGCTTGGAGGTGTATGCTGGGTAACACGTAGTATTAATGGGCTGTGTCACTGATAACAGGAGAAACAACAGTTGCTTCCTCAAGCACATACACCTCCACAGTCAAATTACAGGAAACTGTATTTTGATCTGTTATGGTTTCAAATAAAAAACACAAAAATGTTTTTACAGAACATTCTCAAGTCACCATGAAGCTGACCTTTAAACCTTTGGATAGAAAAGTCATCACGTCATCAGTCTATTAGACATGATCTTGACCTGCGACCTGTAAAATCAAATTAGTTCCACACACGTTTCAGCCACTTACAAGGTTTCAAACTATTACATTTTAAAATTGAACCAAAGAGCACAATACCTGAACCCTAACTACCACTTTCCAAGGCCTTGACCTCGTCTCACCCTAAATCTTTAAAATCTTAAAAATATCCTCACCGTAACATTCAATGATTAACATTGTATTTGCATTTTCCCCCCATAATGTGACTGTTGACAGATTTAGGTCCCCGCAACATGAGCAACATCGAAACTACATTCAAACGCACGCCCACACACCTGGAATTTGCAAAGTGCTGAATGAGTAAGAAAGACAGGAACCACTTCTACGGCAAAACAATGAAACAATTTATTTGAGCTGTCAAAGGCAAATACAGCAGATAAAATGTGTGCAAAGGCTGTGGAGCAGCAAATGGAGCTGTACTGTAGATGTAACTGTCTGCTTTAGACAATAAAGAACAGAGAACACTTCCCATACGCAGCGTAAAAGAAAATGAAAATCTCATGGAAAAAACAATCAAACAACAAGAGAGCGCTTCTCAAAAGGTCACAGATCATCGACAGCAGCTACGAGCAGCCGCAGCAGAGGAAGCAGACTCTGTTCATGAAGAATCATCAAGCAGCAACGCAGAGCTGCCACTGCTCTGCTCCCCCTGCATGAGGGTCACAGACTGACTGAAGGTCACCAAAAAGCCCCTGAGTGCATTCACACAGCGCTTTTACACCAAGTGCTTTGCCAATCACTCATGCGACTCATTCACACGCTGCCGGCGCAGCCATCAGGAGCAATTTGTGGTTGAGCGTCTTGTCCAAGGACACTTAGCCAAGTAGACTAAAAAGTTAAATCGAACCAGCGATTAGTGGAAAGACCTCACTTCACACCTCACTTTGATCTTCAAACTAGCCCGAGGGGGTGAGCTGAGTGATGGCGGCTGCGAGATGAAGTTGGTGGAGAACATATGGACATAAATCTGCTTTTAG